GTGGTAGCAGTTACATTGGGGAAACCAAACGACATGTCTCGGACCGCATCCGTGAACATAAAGCTGACCTGAAACACGGTAGGACAAACACCTCAGCCGTGGCAGATCACTGTTACAACTCAGTGGGCTCACATGATATTGACTTCTCCAAGACAGAGGTTCTCTGCAAGCCATCTGGCTATCATGCGAGATTCGTTCATGAGGCGATCCACATATACAAACACAGAGACAATTTTAACCGAGAAGATGGATTCTGGCTTAGCAATCATTGGAAGGACGTAATAAACCATTTCGACACACATTAGGGTGGGTAGAATAATACATAGTGTTATATTAAATGTATAAGGTATAGGTTGGTTTACAGCAATACAGTATATAATTTAATGTTGGCAGTATATAGTACGGTATATGCTCGTGTGATACAATAGAATAAAGTTTAGATGGAAGCATATTATATAATTTTTACGACGTTGAATTGTAATGTATTACTTGCTGTTAGTAACTCAGCTTAGTGTAGAGTATAGTAAGTATACTGATGGTGCTATGCAATTTATACTTTAGTTTTTTATGTAGTTTATACTTTAGTTTTCTACGTGGTTGTTGAGTAACTGCAGCTACATATCATTAACATTCCTTTCCTTTGTTACTGCTAATCCCTGCACCCCCCCTTGGTGCTGTTGATCCTGCATAATGCATGGGCATAATATGACTTTGAAACCCCCCCGCCCACCTCCTACGCATTTTCCATGTATATGCTAAATTCCTCTTCATATGCACATTCTTTTGTTAAGGCGCTCTTTCTTCCACCTCCAACGCAGATTATATATAAGCTCCTAGCTTGGCATTGTCTCATTCTTCACCTGAGGACGGCTGCTTGCGTTGTGGCCGAAACGTCGTGAGAATTGTTTTATTATGTTTTATTTTTATTATTGTATTACTTCCCTTCTACGTGACTTTACCGAAAGAACCAAGAAGACTTCCACACAGTGTTACAGTCTAATGAAAGAATGCTGCTCGACTAATTTGAAGTGAGGCTTTGGCTCTCAAACCAGAGCTGGTCGTGAATACATTAACCAGGTATGGGAGCTCCTCCAACACTTGTAGAACTGCCTGTTTATTCATGCAGAGTTGAGCAGTTGCAGTGTTGTATGACATGAAATTCCCAGGCAGGTGATTTATTTCTGTAGAACATTTGCAAGGCCCCATTTCATGATGGCACAGAACAAGATTCCATAATTCCATCTCACTGAAAAGCCATTACCAAATCATCAGCAGATATAACATGGTTGACCAGCAGGGAACAATCCTTTAACTTTAACCAGGTATCGATTAGCATATCATTGTAACCGTAACAAATGCAATGGTTGTATTATGACCATTGGGAGCATCTCAAACTACATAGTTATTGAAGATACTATGTAATGTAATGCATGGGGCCAGAGTGAATTTATGTCACAAGCCATGTTGAACAGGTAATCGCTCGCACTCCTGGTCATGCAGCATTAGACCGTTCTGCCGAAAATCATACGAATCCTCAAATAATGTGAACAGAGAGATAGATTTGAAAACAAATAACAACCCAAAGCCCCAAGCCTCTTTATGGTACTTTCGGCCTTAATTAAATCAAGAATGCAGAGATCAAGTTTCTGTTGAAAATCCGTAAGCCTCTGCTGTAGTCAATAGACAGAAAATACAGCGGACCCTTGCATATCGCGGAGGTTACCTTCTGGGAAATTGCCGCACGAAAGCAAAAAGCGCGATATTCAATACTTAAGCCTTACCTAAGTAATGGCGTTCGGTAAACGTGAATTAAAATTTACAACATCACAATTGAATTAAGTACTGTACTGTATTCCAAATAAACTAAACAATTGAAATAAACACGGAGAACCCGTTTCCAAAAAAAATTCCAAGACAAAAAACGTGTATAAATCTATTAAGATAAAGCAGACTTTGCGCTTGTGTAAATTTTTTTGTGAACCAAATTGCGCCAACACACCCCAAACTTTCCATGTGTACTCACGGGGGAGTTAGTGTTTTTCGCGCTATTTTTAGCTTACCTGCTCACCTTCAACACCTGTACCACCTGCACACCCCCCCCCCGCTCCTCACCTCCCCCCCTCACTTTCTCTTGCCATGTGTTAAATCCCGGGGCATTCTCACTACGTCCGGTTTGCCACACATGAAAACACGTTTTGACATTTCATCTACTACAATTCCACGCACTCACCATAACATAAGTGTCTCCACTGCACTGCTATATTTGTTCTCACAGATCTACTTGCTTGTCTGACAATACTAGACAGACTCACCAGCATTGCTAAAATGTCAACACCAAGATGCAAATCCTGCAAGATGATGGTTACCGTTTCCTACTCCGCCAAACTGACCCAGCAACAGACTTGCCAAAACAAAATAAGATTTCCGCCATGGACGTCTTTGCCTTCAGGATCATGGTACGAAACTGCAGCTTTAATCTCTTCTTGAGATGCAAAAAGCTCTTCCACTAATTTTCTGTCGACATGTATGCTAAAATTTAAGCTTCATTAAATTAAACCCACAAGATGGCAAAACATCCTACAAGTCATATTGCTGTGGCAAAACATGCCCTAAGGAAAACTCTTTATGTTCACAGTTTCAAGTGTGCCACGGAGAAGATGACTTCAGAATACAATGTTGTCATTCATGCCGACTAAAGTCCTCATGGTCAACATGAGTGCCGCTTAAATGCACTCACAACATCTGACGTCGCTGTCATTCTGACAGCTGAACAACATTTCACTCGAGGCATCGTCTTGCAACTGAGGAACAATACCCTACATAAAAATGAAACACACCGATCCTATGATGCTGTTTAATGTCTAAAGATTTTCTGGCAAGGTGATGATGGCTACAATTTCCTACTTTGCCAAAGTGACCCAGCAACAGGTTTGCCAAAACAAAAGATTTCCGCCATGGACTTCTTTGCCTTCAGGATCATGGTATGAAACGTCAGCTTAACTCTCTTCTTGAGATGCAAAGAGCTCTTCCACCAATTTGCTATCGATTAGCATGCCAAAATTGAAGCTTCATTCGATTAAACCTATCAGATGGAAAAAACACATCCAACATTGTCTATCCTGAAGCTCTCCTAGGGAAACGGATTTAAAAGCTGCCTTTATAATGAAACAAACAAGCCCTGCGATTGTATAACACAACCGAAAACTCGTTACAAAAACACACATTTACCGACTCAGAAATCAATTATTCTAACAAAGCCAATATGGCAAGACATTACTATTAATGTTTGATTACTGATACCTGTGCAAAGCCGGGTAACTTAGCTAGTACTGAATAAATACTATACTTTAGATGTTTGTGCTTGAATGGGGAGCGGTAGTCCAACGGTTAGCGTTCTGAGCTATAATCCCAGCGAGCCGATTTATATTCCCACAGAGCCAAGCCACAACATTTGGCTGTCGCCTAATGAAGCTGGTTATAATTACTGGCGAAACGTCGTACTCAGATTGTAAATGTTGTGGCTTGGCTCTCCAACGCACAACCGGTGTAGTGCTGTACTAGTGACGAATTGGCCACGTTCTGTTTATGTGACAACCCTTACTAGTTGGCTGTGTCGGGTGGTGGCGGGTTTAACGACACCTTTATATATTTAGACGATCTAACCCAGGGGTCCCCAACCCCCGGGCCGCAGACCGGTACCGGTCCGTGGCCTGTTAGGAACCAGGCAGCATATCAGGTGAGCAGCGAGTCCACGCGTGGCCCGCCCATTATTTTATTTACCACTTCCATCCATGCCTCTTTTCCGCACTGCGCACATGTCTCAGTCACAGTTTTGGAAAGCCCACAAGCTCTAACCATAGCCAAAATGAGTCAAAAACAAACGTAGCTGGAGAGCTCCTTTGAAAAGGGGGAAAGACCCAATGATGAACCCCCTTTGCGGATTGTAGGTCAGAATATCCGTTCATCCTGAGGGCTTGGTGTACGTGCGCCAGCTCACTGGCTAGGTTATGCTGGTCGGAGATGAAACGGGCCCCTATGGTGTAGTGTTTTTTTTATGAGGGAATTCTTCTAGGCTGGATGGTGGTGGGAGTCAGGCTTTAGATAGGCATCCGTGTGGGTGGCTTTCCTGAAGACAGAGTGCCCCAACGAGCCAGCAGGTCTCTTCTCAATCAAAACATCCAGGAATGGTCGCTTGCCATCCTTTTCCAATTCCATGGTGAATTTGATAGATGGGTGTATGGAATTGATGAGTACTCTTGGCGGGGCTAGAAGTGGTAAGGTGGTGGAAGAACAGATAGAGGACGTGAGGCAAATTGAACAATCATTGGAAGGATGTTATCAACCAGGTAATGCCTTAACTTGTTGTTTTTGTTGTTTCCATCATTACCTGCCAATTTACTGAAAGCCCCACCCACGCCCCCCCCACCACCCCATCTTCACGTCCTCTTCCCCGAGCGCTCACGCGGCCCCCTACCCCACAGCCCCCTACCCCACAGCCCCCTACCCCACAGCCCCCTACCCCACAGCCCCCTACCCCACAGCCCCCTACCCCACAGCCCCCCCCTCTCTCTCGCCCCCCTTGCCTCCTCCCACCTCTCTTACCTATAAAACCTCTTGCCACGGCAGCTCTTTATCCGACTTCAGCATTTTCTTGCTGTGGTTGTCCCACCTGATGAAGATCGCTTGCGTTGCATTCGAAACGTCGCGATTTGTTTGATTTTATTTCTACCTACGTGACTTTACCGAAAGAACCAAATAGTATGGATTCCTGCAGTCACGAAAGCTTAAAATCAAGATCAAGCAGAGAATTAAAGCAAATGTAATCAGGCGAGGGCAGGAGGCAAGGCTCCGCATGGCTAGGCCCCGCATTGTAATGTTCCAACCTGGACATCGATTCCATACTCGCTGCGACTCAATTGATATCCCTACGAGAGAGGAGCGAGGCTCTACCTGGGTAAACAACAACAACCACGACAACAACCACGATGTGAACTTCTCACCACGGATCTCAGTGAGCGCGAGCGGAGATCGGCAGCTTCCTGGTGTTTCGTGACGTCATGCGGCAGCAGGTGACATGACGTCACTAGTGAGTACACCCCCCCTCGCGCCGATGAGGTAATGCAGTGGTGACGTCAGATAGCGGGGTTAGAATTTAAGGTTATTAAGATTCCTATTCCAATGATCCCTTTATTGAACATTGACCATTTGGGTGCGTGAGCTCAACAACGTTAACATTGTGTGTACAACCTGTGTATACACTTGATTTGAAGCTTTCGTGACTGCAGGAATCCATACTCTTTGGTTCTTTCGGTAAAGTCACGTAGGTAGAAATGAAATCGATCACGACGTTTCGAACGCAACACAAGCACGACAGCTACGATGTCTGCTGCTCGTAGTTGTCGCGATTTTTACCTGAAGACGGGCGCTTGTGTTGCGTTCGAAACATCGTGATTTATTTTATTTCTACCTACGTGACTTTAGCGAAAGAACCAAAGAGTATGTGTATAGAGTGTGTGTCTACAAACTGTGTATAAATGTGTGTACAAACTGTATACAGTGTGTGGGGCCGTCCATAAACGGCGTCATGAACCTGGGGGGGGGGGGGCAGACATTAAGACATCTCCTTGTAGGCATGCTGATTGTGGGGGTTGCGTTGCGTGCGTTGTTTGGATTTGGCATTGTTGTTGGTTTGGTTGTGGTTGTCCGCATTGTATCTTCTAACGAGTAAGTTGTTCCTTTTCGGTCCTAGAACAATGGTTATACATTGCCTTAAATGTTTGATTCGGCCTAAGATAAGTTGGGTTAAAAATGTGTTAGCCGGGGATGGCTATTTTTTTAAGAGAGGGGGGGGGGTGATGTAAAGACAATACGGAGCGATAGAGGGACAGTATGGTTCCCCTGGACCGTGATTACTAATGGACATACTCATGATGATTGATGGGACAAGCGTTAACAGGATCACATGAGGAAAAGCACGGGACCCAATGGCGGCAAAGTGTAATGCGGGATGTTGGTGTGGGAATCGTTGTCGTCGTCTTGGAATATTGAAATATTCTCTGCTGCGTGGCTGGCTCCGCCCTTGGCCACCACCACCTTCCAGAATCCTCGGGAGGATATGGATCCCAACCACGTGACCACCCCTAGCCCCCACTTGGGGCCCCTTTGTAGACTTAACTGGTCACGTGTCCTCCCGGGTCAAACAGAGTGCCATGGCCTTTAGTACCTCAGCCTTCCGCCACCACTCACACACCCTGTCCTGTGGGGTTGGCACTGCACGCCAAGCGTGGTGCCATCTAGCACTATCAATCAGCGCTCACCGGGCGCCTCTAGGGCCGGTACTACACCCACACCCTTGTGGTGTCCGCGATGTTGTTAGGGCCAGCACTGCACGTTGACATCCTGCGACGTCACTACATATGTCTACTGTGTGTACGCCGTGTATGTCTACTGTGTGTGCACTGTGTGTATGTCTACTGTGTGTACACTGTCTGTGCACTGTGTGTATGTTTACTGTGTGTGCACTGTGTGTATGACTACTGTGTGTACACTGTATGACTACTGTGTGTACACTGTGTATGTCTACCGTGTGTACACTGTGTATGTCTACCGTGTGTACACTGTGTATGACTACCGTGTGTACACTATGTATGTCTACTGTGTGTGCACTTGTGTGTCTACTGTGTGTACACTGTGTATGTCTACTGTGTGTATGTGTAGTGTGTGTGTCCACTGTGTGTGGTCAGAATGCAATAAAAAAACATACATTCTGGTTAATGCAGACATGATTCCTTGTAAAAGGGTTCAGTTTGGTGTTTTAACATCTTAACACCTGTTTTGTTTCCAGAAAAAAGGGTAAAAATCCATTATCATATTTTGGTACTGGCAAAGGAGGTCCCATGTTATGGCAAGCACTTTATGTGTAATGAGTGCGTCCTTAAAATGTTCGCGTTTAGCAACTGGAAGCAAATGCAGTACCCGTCATGACGTGCCTAGGAATTTTGTACACACCGCAGATTGTAATGTTTTTTTTAGCAGACGGTCCGTAGAGTAGTGAGTTTCAATAATCGAGCCGTGTTGAGTTTGTATTGTGTGCCTGTGCGTCCTATATTTGTAACGCGATGGCCATCCCTTTGTGCACCGTGCCCACCTTCAAAGGTGCTCGCAGCAGTCTCTGCTTCCCACTTCTCGCCATCGCGCTCCCTCTTTTGACAATGACACCAACATGCAATGACCTATGCGTTTTAAATGACACAATAGTACATTTTACATCCACTGTTAGGCAGACGGTGTGTGATGCCGCCGCCACGAAGCCGTTCAGCAGGCGCCCCAGCTACGACCTCGCCACCACCAAGCGACGGAGCTGACCCCGCGTCCCCCTCATCTCACCTCACATGAACACACCCGCACGCATTTCCCCCCCCCCCCCCCCCCATAGAGCTCCGAGGGGAGGTCACCTGGCCGACCGGTTTTTATCCGAGAAGCCCTTATCGGGATTAAACTTTCACGGTTTCCGGCGACTAGGGAATTGGACGACCTCCCCCGACGCTACTTTGCACCGCGGCGCTGCGACCGGCCTTAAGATTGCAAGGTCGCAGCGAGGGGCCACTCGGCCACCGCGGGTGAAACGCATCCCACACACCCCACACACGCCAGTATCGACGGGGCAGGCAGAGGGAATAAGCATTGTGATGGAGGAGCATCATTAGAAAACACGCAGCGCATCTGAACTGCATAATCAGGCAGCGGAGAGACGGCATAATTACGCTCGGGCACGCAGGCACCATTGTTAGGGGAGTTAAAGGATAAGGCTGTTAGTATAAATAATCAGGAGAGCGGGGTCACGCGGGCAGCCGTGCACAAATTCCCACGGCGCACCTTTGTAATGGACGCCGCCGCATAATCTGCAATAACAAAGGCATGCGTGAGAAAGGAATTAACTTGCGGAACATCCGATTAGCATATCGAAGGCCCACGGTACGTGGGAAGGGGGTAGGGGCCTGAGTCCGGGAATTGGGATAAAAGGGAGCGTAGCGAGGTAGAGCTCTCTCTTACTCCGAGAAGCCAGCGTCCAAGACGGCCCCCAGCTCTGCCCTCCGGACATCCGTGCGACGTGTCGAGGCAAGCAGCGAGGAAAATCCACGGAACGTCGAGTGCCTCAAACCGTGAGTAAGGAGGTAAAAGTATTTCGTGAACGATAAATAGGGAATAGGTCCCGGGATAGTAGAGTAGGCAGCCTCATCAATTCATACTGACTCAACAACCAGTCCCGGGTAGCAGACAATAAACCATTAACATCTGATCGTGGCCTCGTGTGATCTCGTATTATAAGTGTGAACGCGTGTGGTACTGTGTATGCGTAAGCTAGCGGCGTGCGTAATCGGCGTACCCCAGGTGCGCGATCATAACGTGAGCGGCCAGCAGGCGGCGAGCGCTGCGCAGAGCGGCGCAAGAGTGGGTATCGCGTGTGGAGCTGTATGCGTGTGTGCGTGCACGTTCACTACGTGTATAATACAGGTGCGCGATCCTAACGTGAGTGGTCTGTGTTGAGTGAGTGCCGCGCAGAGCTGTGTGTGGGTGTGCGCGTACGTAATTAACCATGCCTATTACGCGGACCCGCGGGGGAGGGGAATCCTCGAGCGACGTATCTCACCCCATGGGTGAAGAACCCAACAGCGGTTCGCCTAGTAGCGAGGGGGCGAGTAATGAGGTTAACCCGGCCGTTAGCGGTACAGAGGGAGGGATCTCGGGGGCCAGCGACCCTCACATATTGGTGTCAGAAACGGGACGATCCCTCGCACCCCCAAGGGAAAGAGGCCCCCCAACCCAGATTAAAATCAAATGCACATTTACGGGCAAAGGAATTCCATCATGGAAATCGTTTGCCCGCAGCATCAGGGGGGCTAAAAAGGTTAATGGGTGGTCGGATGAGGAGGCGTTGCAGCAGTTAGAGATAGATTTAGATGGACGGGCAGCTGACTTTGTGGAAGCTTTGCCCGCAAGCGCACAAACTCAGTGGGAAAAATTAATGTGCGAACTCGAACGGCGCTTCGGCGCCTATGACGAGGAGGAGGCGCAGGCGGCCTTAGAGGCACGCCGCCGTCAGCCCGGCGAGGATCTGCGAGATTACGCCGAGGACGTACGCATGTTGACCCAGCTCGCGTACCCGGAGCACGAGGCGAAAGTAATTGAGAGCCTCGCCGCCAGGAAGGTCCAGCGATATTTGGCACGCACCCCGTGGTGGCAGCCAAATATAGACGGTGCACGCTTCTCCTTTAACATACTTGTCGAGCGTGCGCGTAAATGCGAGAAGCTCTCTGGTGAGCGCGCGCAGCCTCGAGGGAGGGGACGAGAGTGCGCCGTAGCGAGCCTACTCTCGGACGAGGAGGAGGAGCTCGCCATCGCAGGAAGGGGACAGGCAAGGGAGCCCCAGAGACCCAGCGAGAAAACCCCGGGGTGGGTAGCTGGGTTACAGGCCGGTATGGGAGATATGATAAACAGGCCGGTATGGGAGATATGGTGAGAGGGTAACCCAGGTACGCGATGAAACGAATAAAAATATGACCAAACTGCAATCCTCCGTTGAGACCATCCGATCCGAAATGGGGGACCTACGTGCCACGGTAGGGGGGTTATCTGGAAGGGTAGCCCGACTAGAGGTGGAGGGTGGACAGCGGCGTAATTGGGAGGGAGGGTGTGGGCAGGGGGCCCACTACGGAGCCGCCCCCCCCTCCTCGGGCATGTTATATGTGCGATCGCCGAGGGCATTTAGTGAGAGACTGTCCTGAAATCACCCGAGCTAGGCAGATGCGGGGGTTAAACTCCAACGCCCCCTAGAAAGCGGACCAACTAGGGGTGCAATCGACGCGGTCCCGATACAAATAGACGATAATGAGAATAATGGCGAGCGAGTGATCTCCACACAGGTTCCAGCAACAACGCCCACAGAAACGGTGACTCCTGGCGACTGGCTACGGGAGTTGATGGTGGGGATCACGGGGGCCACGTCGCTGGTGGAAGGGGAGGTAAACAGAGTGCGTACCCGAATCCTGCTGGACAC